CTGGCAGTGTGTCTCGGAAACTTTAAATACCCGTTTCTTTCACTTTTCAAATTGGTGCCACCAAATATTATAGCCGTGCATTAATTATATTTAAAAGAAATTAAATAATGAAGAATCTACATGAATGTATGTATGTTTCTCACACTGTGAAAAAGCAACAGTACCTAGAGACATAAAATTTTGAATAACATAATCCTCCACTTGAATGGAGCGTGTGAAAGCCCAAATTTGGGATTTGTTTAATTATCTGTTTCATATTATGTAAAACTTTAACATATTTTTAATTGTTAAATATATACATATGTATTACAAGTACACTACGCCAAAAAAAGGGGGGACAGTTGTGTACTTGCGTTTTTCATGGCTCGAAAGCACAACTTAGGATATATATTAGATTTATATATAGCATTATTCTAACATAGATATTTTGACACAAAATCGGACTTTTTCTGAAGTGGCATATCAATTTTTTTCCATATTTCAATTCTATGACTCAGATCATGCCAAGATAGTAAATTTTGTAATTTTAGGTGAGAAATTTATGGAGAAATTAAAAAAATTTTCTTGAATTTTTTTCAGTTTGTGCCAAGAATAAGTCACTTGGCGGGATTCTTAATTTATAGTAACCTACTTGTTTTAATTTTTTTTCATTGATGCAGGAGAGGAAAAATGGTCCATTGTTCATTCTTTCAAATAATTTTAAAAAAGTGTGTAAAACACATTTTCGTTATTATTGACAATATTAAATACGCTAAATTTCAAAACGTGCCAAAAAGTAAATTCACTTATATCTTAGGAAATTTTGAATAAAAATTTCTTAATTTTTTGCATATATTCTTATATATACATCTACTTTAAGATGATGTTAAAAATTTTATAGGTTATGATACAAAAGTTCTTTTGAAAAAATTATAAAAAATATTTTAAAATACAAAATTTTAAAATAATTAATAAAAAATGTGCGAATTGTATTTGAATTAAGCCTAAATTTTGAATTCTGAATGAAGGAATCAAGTAAGTTTAATAAAAAAGAGATATTAATAAATATATATAAAATTCAATTAACATTAATGAATTAAAATTTTGAGAGCTAACTTTTAAAAAAGTACTCGTGCGATTTTTGCAAAACTTGGCAATTTGACATAATTTGAGTTGTAGAATCGAAATATAGAAAAAAGTGGCATGTCACTTTTAAAAAAGTCCGATGTTGTGTCAAAATATCATCTTATTTTGTTTTTATGCAGTTCATGTATTAATTTGCGTGATAAAATTTATGTCTTCTAGCTGATAAGTTGGATCTACAGTACTTTTAAACTTCAATTAAAATTTAGCAGCACTTTGCACAAATTTGTTCCTTTTAGTACTAGTGTACTTTCTTTTTCCCTCGTTGACTACTTGTTTTCTCATTATCTATATGAAAGTAATAGTATATATAAGTCTAATACATATCCCAAGTCGCGCTTTCGAGACATGAAAAACGCAAGTTGAATTCCGTCAATTGGCCCAATAGAACGGGAGATATATAACTGCCCTCTTTTTTACATCCTTGTACGAAGTAAAAAGGAAGTATTGTAATCGCGAAAAGTTTCAGGCAGCATATTTCAATGAAATATCCATTTTGACCGCTATCGAATGCAATTTAACGATGTTTTTGCGTGATATCTGTACGTAAGGACAGAATAAAAGACTCGTTTCCTCCAAAAAAATTATAAAACTGCTTTAAAATTAATTCTGAAGAGAATTTTTCGTGGCGTCTGTACGAACGTATATACGTACGTGCATACGTTCGTATCTCACATAACTCAAAAACAAGTAGCCTCAGAACGTTGAAATTTTGTATATAGGACTGCTATAACATGTAAATGTGCACCTCGTATTTTGGTTGCAATCGGCAGCACCAAACGTATATAAATACTATATTTATATATATATCCACTCTGTTACTCTGCACAGTGATCTCAGTTTCTTTACTCTTATATGTTTGTAAATTGTACATTTTTTGCTTTAAAAATGATTGAATTATGTTGTTTTTATCTTCCGGTTAAGGTTTTTATGCCTTTCGTAATTCTGGAAGCAATATTTGTACAATTATCAACAATTTAAAAGCTGTTTAAGTGCGGTTACGTTTTAAATAACATGGCGGACATATTTGTTTACATTTGAAACAGCAGAATTGTAGATTTGTTGCCAATCTAGAGAGACTAAGCTTCGCTACAACAAAAATGACGCCTTCATTTATTATTGTGAAGTAAATCATGCTTAACCCCTTCGCGCCGACTGTCACGTCTATGTGCCAGCAACGAACACACTCACCTCCTGGCCGACACGCAGGCGTGCCAGAGCATTTTCCCGTTTACTACCGACTGTCACGTATTTGTGCCAGTACCTTGGAACGTTTTTCAAAAACTATAATTTCTGCCACAAGATGGCACTATATGTCCATATGGTTTCAGATACATGTACATTAGACCTTCTACTCGAAATGAGAGAAGCATGACTCACATACACGTGTTTTTGATTATATAAACAAACGGGGAACTAAATGTTTCCGAATGGCGTGATTTATGACGTCTCTTTAAATCGCACTTTATTCGCACGTGGTAGTTGTTTATTGTAAGTAGAAGTTTTATATGCGCTAAAGCGTTGAGTATTTCGGTTTACAGTTCAGTTTTTAGAAAATAATTAGATCTTGTTAGACGTGAATTCTTTCTGTTTTTACCGTTGCAATGTCGAAGCGTCGAAAATGTTTAACAGAGCATGAAATAGCAGAAATGATGCAAAATATTTCAGATATTGATTCTGAAATTCTGATATTCTGATATTGATTCTGAAAGATTAACTGAAAGACATTTTCCAAAACTTTGTTCAGAAGAGACTGATAAGAAAATGAGACGACGATGCTTCGTTTGTTCACATTCCCGGAAAAATCCTCCAAAACGGCAAATGAGTTATTACGAGTGTGAGGAATGTAACATAGGACTGTGTAGATCCCTGTTTTCAAATTTTTCATACGAAAAGAGAATTTTAAGTAATATATTTAGTTTTCAGATGTATTATGTTAAAAGTCATAAAATGGTGAGTAATTAAAAATAAAATGTGTAAAATATGCATTTAAACAAGAAATAAGGTAATTAAAGTATATATACATATATAAATATCTATAAAGCATAAGCCGTTTAAATACTCTATAAAAGCATTATTAAACAGTGCGTTTATACTTTAGGAAAATATAAACGGATTTTATATTTTAGAAAATTTCATGGATTTAGGCTTAGTAGCAAAAAAGCCCACGGTCCTGGAGAGACGCTCGCGTAAGACACTGCCGGGCTCCGCGATAAGCACGCGTTTTCGCTACCTGGCTCGAAGGGGTTAATCCTTTTTGGAATTTTTTTGAGGAAATAAGTGTTTAAGATTTACTTAATTTTTAATAATTGGTAATTTAATTTTTAATAATTAGTAATTTTTAATACAGATATTTTGAGCTTTTATGTATTTTTGTCTTGTCGTGAAGTGAAAACTGAATTAATTGAATGAGAAATACTCAATCATCTGTGAAAAACTGTTTCTTTTTTGTTTGTTTGCTTAATTTCTTTTTTACATCATTCTAGCTTTATTATAGTATTTGAAAAGAAACATGTGGCAACGATTAGATAATTCTTTAAATGATATACATTTTGTGCATTCTGAGTTATAATATGAATAATATATTGGTAAAGGCCGTTAATGGTCGATTGCCTCTTACTAGATAAGACAAATATATAGACATAGTTATAGTATGAACGAAATAATTATACTGTTAAGTGAACCTAGTGCCAGAGTGTCGCTATGTTAAACAAATAGAGTGAATTTTAAAGAATGCCTTTATTCTATTGTGGTTAATGCGCTGTTGGCGAAGTAGATTTAATTAAGTCCAATAAGTTTAAAAGAAATGCAAGAAACAAATGCGTGTAATTTAATATTCCGTACAAAAAGTCATGTGGTGTACACATCAGATTTTTTTTTACACTGTGTACATTAATTTTTAACAATATTTTTATCTAGCACATTATGCACAGTGAAGTTTTGATTAATTACATCAGTTTAATTTGTTAACTTTACTGCCCATTGTCGGGCAAAGTTTGAGTTATGTAATATTAAAATAATTAATTCACCTTCATTTAATCTTTATTTAATATTATTAGCCCAAAGGGGCAATTTGCCCAGAAAGGCTATTATTTTCGTTTTGGCATTTTGCATTGTCCATTATAAAATGGCGTTTCACTTTTTAAATTGTTGACACCAAATAAGAGCCCTGATTATATTTAAAGAAATTAAATAATGAAGAGTTTGAGTGAATGTATGTTTCTTGCATTGTAAATAAACAATGGTACCTAGAGACGTCAAATTTTTAATAACGTAGTCCTCCGCTCAAATATGGGCGTCTGGAAGCCCAAATTTGGAATTTGTTTTCTTATCTATTTCATATTTTTTAAAACTTTAACAAATTTGTGATTAATGAGCTCAGCAATCTCGAAGTGAGCAATGGCACCACTGTACAGGAAAGGGGGAAAAAAAGCATTTTTATCTCAAGCGTGCAAGACTGTGTATTGGAAATTCTAAAGATATGCTTTTTTTAAATTATTTTGTGATACTGCTGTTGAATTGAATTTTATGGTTTAAGTGCAAAGACCATGATATTTAATAAATAAAGGTTAACACACAAAACGTTAAAAAAGCCCCCTTGGGTGTAATATAAAATCTGAAAACTTCTAGTTTTTTTTTTTTTTTTTTTTTTTTTTTTTTTTTTTTTTTTTGTTAATTTTTACCAATATTTAATATTTTATTGTTGTTAAGTTTTACCTTGATATATTTATTTCTTTTCCCCTTAAATTCTGGATATTTCCCAACTGTGAATGGACAAGAAAATGATTTTATGACAGTTTATTATTAAAATAGTATTTAATGTCTAAATAAAATTTATATATATAAAATATTATATACATTTTTATTCTTTTTATTAGGGACTCAAGAATGCAAATCTGGTGTATTTCTCACTTGCTGGCTGTAGGCTTGGAGATGAATTCATTGAAAGTAAAGAAAATTTTAAAAAATGTACTCAGAATTGATTTTTCATAAATAAACATTTTTAAACAAAATTTATTTTTGCTATTTAGGACTTTGTCGGGGATTACACGTATCAAAAATCGACTGGATAGATCTTAGCTCTTGTCGTTTAAGTATGCGAAATATTACTTCACTAAGCAATGTTATCAAGGTATGTTGTATGTATGTTTAATAATCATATTTATTCATGTAGTACTCATTTAGAAAATAGCTTTAGAAATGTAACTATTAAAATAAATTAGTTTATTTTTGATACTTTTGTCCAATGATTTTTTTAAGCTTTATATCACATATATTCATCTGTCTTAAATGTATATTATGTTAAAATCATGTAAGGGCTAATGCATCAATATATGATCTTTAATAGTTTTATCCAGTGATTTTTGCATTTTTGCAAGCTTTGGTATCATGTATTTGTCTCAATTGTACATTATGTTAAAAATATGTAAGGACTAATGCTTCTATGTATGGAATTTATAATGCTCAAAATGTTTCAGTATGAGTATAAATTAATGTGAGGATTAGGTTGTTCAGACACAAATCATAATAGCTATACAGGATCAGAAATATCATTTTCATGCAGTAGGTTGCACTGTGGGGAGTGGAAAATTTTATCTAAGGCAACCATCGTTTTAATATAATTTGGGCAAGTAATGGACTCGTCCCTCATGTCTATTCATCTGTGTAGACAGTTATGAGATATTCATGGGGGAAATATTATCAGAACTTTTAGATGAACAACAGGTCTAGCAATCTTTGCATCATGAAGTATTGTTCTAGCATAAGACCATTTCAGCAAGACATCCTTCAGCACTTGATTATATTTGGACAAAGGTGGATTGAAAGTTGCATCCAATACATTGGTATACATATTGCTGGAACTGACATGACTAGGGTATTTTTCTAAGGTCACCTTTAAAACTCACTAGAGTGATGATGTGTAGACAATGCTGCTGGTCTTCTCCTAATACATTTCTGTAGCTGTTACGGTCATCCAACATGCTTATAATCTTCTAGAATGTTCATTATTCCATACTCTGACGATGTTAAGCATCTGTTACAGCTCATGAGTGCACCTTTGAGCAGCTTTTGTGCATTTAAAAAAAAAGTACCTATTATTAATTATAAACCACATTTTATTCACTATGCTGTTCTTTCATTTTTCACGTCCTCTGCACGCTATCGGGTAAGGTAGTGTTTCTGACCCTGCATTGCTATATCGTTGTAATCCGTCTTTTCAAAAGTTTGCATCCACTGTTCTAAAGCACAAAGTACATTGAGAAAATTTTTCTGCAGTGTATTACTTTTTCCTACTTATGAAATCGCTCTAATTTACCAATGATTTATTTTATTGTTTTGGGTTATATCTCTGCACACTGAGATTGTAAGAATACATTCATTTAAAATATTCTATTTTCATTATAGTTAGATTTGCTCATTATTAGTACTACTTTTTCAGTCATTGTTACAGAAAAATTACAATCAGAGAAAAAGGTCTGTAATTCTGTTAGGTACATTATTATTATTAGTAGTAGTATATTTTCTTTCTTCTTTTTTATTTATTGGATTTGAAAGTTTTACTGCAATCTCTAAAATATTTTAACTGTTTCAGAATTTGCTGTGCTCTGATATTGCTTTTCATCTATGATATGGTTTTAAAAATGTGTCTTTAGAAATTAGTGAAATCCTATTTCTATAATATGTACAAGATATAAAATTATATATTTTAAAACAAAATCAATAGTTGACTGACATTAGTATAGATAATGTAGTGCAGTAATATTGAAGCTGTTTGATAAGTTTGAAAAGTATTTGAATCATTCACTTAATATTGAAAGCTATAAAGTTACTGCTATTTTAAGACTGAGAAACAAAATGCCCTGAATTCTCCAAATAATGAAAACTTTAGAAGCCACTACTTAATACAGAGCAAATTAAAATAAATAAATAAATAAATAAATTTAAATTAAAAAAATGAAAACCTAGGTCACTTGAAGAACTTGAATTTTCTTCTGTATGATTGCTATTTATAAAAATGTTTGGTGTTTATAAAAAAAAAAAAAAAAAAAAAAAAAAAAAATTGAATAGCAGAAATGTAAGATCTTTTTCTGCTTTTCAACATACGATTGTATCAAATCTAAAATGAGTAGGTTTGCAAGTTATTTCTTAGCAGAATATTATTTGATGTTAAATAAAATTAATGAAAGTTTTGTAATATAATACAACTCTTGAATATTTTTATTCATGAAAAGAAAGGCTATTTAATTCCATTGATAATATGAAACTAAACTAGATGTATAAATAGAATAATCAAAATTAAATAAAATTCTTTCAGATAAGTTTTTCATGGTTCCTAACTTGTCTTAAAACTCTTTGAAGATATAGTAAACTCGATAAAATATTGGTCTTTGTGGTAAATTTGAACACTTCATTTAAGTCTGTTTACACAGTTATCCTAATAAGTCTGCTATGAAATAAAGATATGCTATTAACATGTATTATCAAATAACATTCTTGGCAAAATTATTTCATAAAATGTTAAAAGTATTGACTAGAAGTATTTAAATTTTCTTGCAAATTTTTTAAGGATTGGTTCTTCAGTTGTGAATTCTTTAAAGTACCTTTGTGTTTGTTTTTTGACAAAAGAAAATAAGTTACAAAATTTAATAATTCAATATTATACTAAAAGAAAGCTATGCGGCCTTCCTTAGCTACAACCTATTGTTCCAGATGATTTCTGTCTTTTGTCTATTAAGTTGTTGCCTTTGCAGAACATGACTGTTTGTGATATTGAATATTGTTAATCAGATATAGTGGTTGGCATCAAAGGTGAAATAGTGGTTTTCTTTAGAGGTAGTTGCTATGGAAGATTTCATTTCAATATCTTCATAGCTTAATTTTAAAGACACAAAATTTAACAGAGTGCCTTTCTCAGTATCAGTAAATTTTAAAAAAATATTATATCTTAAAATTTAAAGCTTCTTCTTCACCCTGCACCCTTCTTTACCTCCTTGTACAAAGTTAAGGAAGTATTGTAATCACTTAAAATTCCAGGTAATATATTTTAACGAAAATATCTATTTTGACCACTATCGAATGCAATTTAACAATGTTTTCATATGACATCTGTACATAAGGACAAAATAAAGGACTCTTTTTCCCCAAACCAATTATAAAACTGATTTAAATTGATTCATCACTGTCATTTCGTGATGTCTTTCTGCATCTTCACTGTCTTTTTGCCATGTGAGACCAAAAGGAAACTTTTAGTTTTGTACACCGACAAATTTGCCTTATTGCCTGCTAGCCGAATTGCTTGTTTTTGCATAGAAACTCTAAATTTAATTGTATAAATTGTTTTAACTGTGTTTGGTGTTTTTATGCTTTTTTATATATTTCAATTTTTAATGAAGATATTTTGAGTTTTTATGTACTTTTGCATTGCTGCAAAGTGAGAACTGAATTAATTGAATGAGAATTTTATGTATAATGAAATTCGAGGAAATTAGTTTAAATGAAATGCAGGAAAAAATGTGTATAATTTAATATTCCATACAAGTAAATTATGTTGTGTACACATCGGATTTTTTAATATTAGGAAAATTAAGTGTAAGAGTGCATGATGCAGGAAAAATACTATCCAACTTTATCTTAACAAATGGAGGCAGGTGAGGTAAAATTTTTAAACATAAACCCAAGTGAAGGGAGGTGAGGTAAGATTTTAAAATATAAACGCATTTATTATATTCCATGGAACTGAACTGAGCAGTGATTTGCTAGCTAAAACAACTTTTTTATAAAATTTGTTTGTGTTTATGAAAATAAAAATGTGTATACTAAAAATATAGAAAAGGTAAAAAAAAAAAAAAAAAAGAAATTAAACATTTTTTTATGAGCTGAAATATACAACAAAAAAATTTGGTGTTAATTGAAAAGGTCAATTTTTTTTATGTGTGCATTTGCAGTTGCTTTATGCTTAATTTCAGATTGCTCAATTAAGACTGTGAATTTTATTTTGATACATTTTAATTCCTAGCTTTTTTTTGATTTAGAGTCATAACATAAGGAGGCATAATGAAATGTTTAAGGACACTTTGCGACAACAGTTACCATCGCTTGATGCTCAGAAAGGATTAAAGAGACTGTCATTGAATGATAACCTATTGTGTGATAAAGGCATCAATATTCTTTCAGAAAGTCTTTCCGATGACCTCTGGATTAAAGGTATTTATTAATTATTAAATTCATAGTTTACCTAAAGACTTGATTAAAACACATGTTGAAAATAGGAATTCAGATTTTATTTATAAACTATTTGCAGCATATATAGTTAAAAAAACAACATTGTTTATACCATGCATGACTGTAATAATCGTATTAAAATATATTTAGATAGTAAAGCTAAATTTTCTTTCCATACACTGCAGAAATTTTCTGTTTTGATTATTCTAAATGACCATACAAATAAAGAAAACAAATCTTTCTTTTTTTATAAATAATAAATTTTTATTTCAATTGCAATGAAATACAGATTGATCTGTTGCTTTATTTTAGTATTACAATTGAAATCTTTTAGTGGTACTTTTCCATTTTGCCGCCGCAGCCGATAAAGTCACCAATAATGGTATAACTGATGCCAAATGGAATATCTTTGCTGGTAACCTTTTACTCCTCATTTTCAAAATAAGTCGCAGCCATTTCTTATCAGATTGATTGTTTCTTTCAATACTGGCATACATTTACATTGAATTTTTACCAGTTAGTTAAATTTTATGCCCTAAGGCCATTCGTGTGCGGTTAATTAAGTCAATTAGGATACAATCACACCGCTCACCCAATGATGAAAATATAGAAAAGGCAAGGTCAAGGGTTAAATTCATCAATTCTAATGAAAATGCACTAGCGAAGTAAAGCACTGCGGTTTTACATAATTTCTGAGTAAGCTATTTGTACAAATTGAAATAATTCTTGCATTTAAACTTGTATTCCAAATCAAGATTCAAGTTTTGCTCTTTTTATATTGTATAATTTCTTACAATAAAAATGAAATTGTTTTTATTTTAATAATCTTTATTATTTCATAGTTTATAATAATTACTGAATTTTCTGTTAACCTTTTTGAGAATGTCAATTATAAATCAAATGAAGCAAGTTAAAAACTGTACTTCATTTACACTTTTTGAGCAATACAGTATCATTTTGAACAGGCAGATCCATTAACTCAGTTATGTCTGTTTTGTTAACTTACAAATTATGTAAATAACTGTCATTTGACCAACCTAATATTGCAGTTAGTATGCATGCAAATAATGTAAATTACTGCTACTTCAACATCCTATCAATCCAGTTAGTATCCAGTTAATGTTATGTAATCTAAACATGCCAGAACGGTGACTTATATGATTAAGAAAGTATTAAAAAATATGTATTTTTTACTTTAATTGGTTGCTTACCATGAAGAATAGAATGAAAAAAAATGCAGATGAGTGCTATGGAAATATGCCAATGTTTCTTGTGTTGTTGTACTCATTATCCTACTGTCATACAATATGTAATGTTTTTCAGGAAGTTAGATATTACCATTTTTTATTAAATGGCATTTTAATGTAAAAGTCATTTTTATAGTCAATATTACTGCTATATATTGCAGTAATATAACTGCATAGCATATGCTACTGCTATGCAGTTATAATTAGAACTGGAGTAGGGATTTTTAGCTAAATTTAATTGAATTTAACTGTATGGTCTGCTAAGTTGAAACACAAGCAAGGTTTTCTTTTCTTTTTTTAAAATAAGACCATTTGAAATATATTTTTCTTTCAGTTCTTTCCTTTAATTAGGTAATTAAATAATAATTTACTAAGATTTATACTATAAAAAAGCTAAAATATGTTCACCAGCTTTTGCCAAAGTAAAAGGCTCAGTGCAGAACAATTTATAGAATCTTGCATGAAAACTATTTAGCAGGCAATGAATGGGAATACTTTATACAACCCTTCATGAAGCATGGATTTCCCTAAATGACTGCAACAAAAAAGGTCTGTTTATTATTGGAAAAGAAAAGGGAAAAAAATGTACAAACTTTGTTCCATCAATGCAAAGAAAGTTTCCTTATGGTGTTTATGATTTTTGCAGTATTCTCTTACAATGAAAAATGGAAAATAAGAAGAATGGAGGAAATGTAAAAATTGATGTACTGTCAGGAAAAATTTTGTGTTATATACAGAAGAAATTGCATTTCTTTATCCCATTGCCTTTCAGAGATTGAAACTTCACAAAGACAAAACAACAAGTCATACTTGAAAAATTACCACTGCATTTCTTGAAAAAAATTAAGACTGATACAGGTATTGCATATATACCTTTTTAACATTATTTTTACTTGCAAAGTCCTCCGACGTTTTACTTATGGACTATTGTGTTTCTAAATGCAAATCCGCCACAATCTATGGCCTCTATAAAGTAATGGAAGAGGAATGAAAATTTTATAAAAAGCCTTTTTGTCAGGAAAATCACAATGCAAGTTTATTATCCAGAAAAATAAAAAAAAGCTGTCAAATCAAACATTTAAAAAGAAAAATGCACTTTACATTTGAACACTTATTGAATATTTCCCAAATCATTAAAAAATGTGTAAACATCGTCTGTATTGCTTGCATATTTTATGTTTTAAAAAGTAAATAAGTCCAAAAAAATCTAGTTATGAGCAGATTTTTATTTATTTGCCCTGGTGGAATTTTTATTTTTGCTGTTGTTTTAAGAATATATTTAAAAAAAAATCCCTATCATGATTTTGCAGCAAAAATATTGGATTTACAGTTTCTTCCATTACAAGCAGAATGTTTAAAAGCTAATGCTAAAAAATACATTTGACACTATACACTGACTACCAATAAGTATTTGGACACCTGTGATAGAAAAGAAAAACTAAATTTATTCAAAATCAATAGTTGGTAGAGCCTCCACGAGAGGAAATTACAGCGTGGACCCTCCGGGGCATACTTTCCACAAGTCTTTGTATGACAGCTAGTGGTATTTTCTTCCACTCAGCTTGGAGAAGATATAGAAGTTCCTTCATCGATTTTGCACGGGTAGTGCACGCCTGAATTCGGCGATGCAACTCGTCCCAGAGGTTCTCAATAGGGTTCAGGTCTGGACTCTGGGCAGGCCAGTTCATTCGATGAATTCCATTGGCACCATACCAAGCGTTGGTTAGCGTCGGAACATGACAACTGGCATTGTCGTCCTGAAAGTAACAGGGGTCCAACCCGTAAAACTGCCACAACATAGGAAGCACATTGTCATCCAAAATACTGCAGTAGGCATCGGAGTTGAGCTTACCATGAATGGGGACCAAGGGTCCCAACCCATACCAGGAGAAACATCCCCAGACCATAATTCCAACACCGCCGAACTTGACTGTTGGCACAATGCATTCTGGCAGGAGACGTTCTCCAGGTAGACACCAGACCCAAACCCTGCCATCCAAACGGTAAAGGGTGAACCTTGATTTGTCACTCCAAAGAACCCGTTTCCACTGATCTTCGATCCAATTTCGATGTGCTTTGCCCTACATTAACTGAGCATCGCGGTTGGACTTTGTGAGCAAAGGCTTATGGGCAGCAGCACGACCATGAAAACCAAGCAGAAGTGCTTCCTTACGGATGGTATTCATTGAAACAATACTCCCGGATGCCTGTTGAAACTCCTCGCGGATGAGGGACATCGGTTGGGTGCGGTTCTTCTGAATTTCTCTGGACAGCACTCCTCGGTCTCTATCTCCCAGTTTCATTGGTCTGCCGACTCGGGGCACATTGCGACAATCACCGCTCACCTTCCACTTCTTAATCACATAGGCCACTGTCGATTTTGGGTTCTTCAGATTGCTAGATATGTCCCTTAAGGATTGGCCACATTTGTGATACCCGATAATTATACCTTTCTCGAAATCAGAGAGCTCCGAACTGCGAGGCATCTTGCATGCGACTAAAGCCGATGCTGTTTCTTACACGATATATACCGGCGAAGTCCGTGACGTACCTTAGGACCGCAGATATTGTCATTTGCATAGGTGTCCAAATACTTATTGGTAGTCAGTGTAGTTCCTTAGCAAAAATGTAAAATCATGTTACAACTACAAACAATACTAAAGTAGTAAAAGCTATCTCGTAAAAAACTAAATGTAAAAATTACAAATCGAGATGACTTTAAAATAAAAAAGGAATGGGATCTAAATACAAGGTATCTAAAAAAGTTTTTGGGCCATTTCTGATATGACGTCAGATGAGCAAACCCCAACATAAAAATCAAAGCCAAACCTGGCGATGAAGTGGTTAGGATGGGAGTCTGACATTGACCAACAGTATAAAAGCACGTTGAATTGGTACTTCAAGCATAACTCACACAGCAACTGATTGAAATGGGCACATCAAAGGCACTCGTTCGGAGTTGTTTGCTATATGATTTTAAAGTGAGCCTGTCAGCAGCAGAATCAAGCCGCTGAATTTGCCAGGCCTTTGGAGATGATGCCAATAACAAATGAACGAACTGCTAGGCAATGGTTCCAGAAGTTCAGGTCAGGGGATATGTCTCTTAGTGATGCATCACAAGCGATCGGCCACTAACACTGGATGATGAAACCCTGAGAGCAACCATAGAGTGTGAAAGTAGCTAAACATGTCATGAGCTTGCTGCATACTTCCAGGTATTTGATGAAACGATCAGACACCATTTGCACTGCATAGGAAAGGCATACAAGCTGAACAAGTGGGTACTCCACTCACTGACCGATGCAAGCAAGCAACAGTGTGTTGCTGCCTGTTTGTCATTGCTTACTCGGCACCGCAATGTGTTTATATTTGATCGAGTAACCGCCAGCAATGAAAAGTGGGTCCAGTATGACGCACCCAGACATTGGTTGTCACTACGGGACACTGTGCCTCACACTTCAAGACTTTCTCTTCACCTACACAAGATTATGCTCTGTATCTGGTGGACTAGTCGCAGAGTGGTGCACTATGAGCTCCTGGCAGTGGGCCAAACTATCACTGCAGGCATGTACCCCCAGCAGTTGGAACATGGGCATCAGGCACTGATGCATGAAGAGTCAGCATTGGTCAATGGTAAGGGTGCACTCCTCCTCCATGACAATGGGAAGCCACATGTGGCTTGAGAGGCCAGGGACACCATCCAGCTACTGAGCTGGGAAACACCACCCAACCATCATTTTCCGCAGACCTTGCACCAACAGACTACCACCTTTTCCATTCCTTGGACAACCATCTTCATGAGAAATCCTTCAACAAGCGAACAGACCTCGAGAAGGCCCTCACAGACTTCTTTGCACCCAAGACTCCTGAATTTTGCTGCGATAGCATCACACAACTAGTCACTTGTTGGTAAAAGGCAGATGCCGATGGTGATTACTTTGAGGATTAGCGGTGATTATTATTTGTTTTATGGCTTTTTCTTTCTGACTGTCCAAAACAGCAATAACATTTTTGAGTACCTTTTATTATCTCACTCCATTTAAGTGATTACTTAATACTGAAGAGTAAATATTTCTTTGTTGTATATATTTCAGCCTTAGATTTGCAGAAATGTGGTGTAGGAAATGAAGGAGCATTGAAGCTTTTGCAAATTGCAAAAGTAAGCCCACAAATACAAATCATTGATCTTCGTTTGAATGAAGTGGGTAAGGGATCTTGTTTTTCTCCTTTTACCTCCAATGTAATTTTTTGTAATATATTTTATTGTAGTATTTTTGATTATTATTATGATTTTAATATAGATGAATACATTTTGGAAAGGCTTTATCAGCAGTTAGAGTTAAATAAAGCTGGAAAAATACTAGAAGTAAGTAAATTTCATGTATTCATGAAGGTATCTATACCTGTGTTTTCTGTTAAATTATAATTGTATGGCGAGTTGTTCTGTATGTATGGCGAGTGTATATATACAGGATCTCTACTTTAAAATTGCTTTTATCTTCTTATTACCAGAAAGGCATTAAATGTTATTTTTCACATAAAATTAGATGCATATTTTCAATAAATTAATACATGTTTTCAATAAAAGCTTTATTAGGGAAGGCTAAAACTGCTACATAACTTTCTTATTAAACTTATTTTACTGCCATATTTAAAGTAAATTATAGTGACAAATCAGAGAGAAATTGTTGAAAATTATTTAAATTGTTAGGTATAAATGTTTTTCTATATAATGGCAACATTATTTTTGGCACTTGCGTATTATTTCATCAGCAATGAAACTATTGCCAAGAACTGCGATTTAAGTTATAGATAAGGTTGGTGCCACAATGTACTCGTAACATTTTCACTTTCATTTGATATAACCCCGCTTGATTTTCAATAAACTACTTTTTGTTTTTATTATATAAAAAAATAGTTTTATAACATAAAAAAAATCAGATTTGATATAAATTAATTATCATTGCTTTCCTTTTTTCTTATGTTAACAAAAGGCTAGTTCAATGGGGAGCGTTATGCTTTAATCGTAAATTTCCTGTGAAAATGGTTAAGCGTTGCCGATTTTTGATCGGGAAGGAATTAAAAGGATAAATTTAAAAGAAAAATTCAGATTTTTTTTTTTTTTAGTCCAAAGGGATTTGAATCCCGAAGGATTATTAGTTTCGTTTTGGCATTTTGCGTCGGACTCATAAATGTCGGTTCACTTTTCAAACTGTTGCCATAAAATGTTAGAGTCCTGCATTATATTTGAAGAAATTAAATAATGAAAAATCTGCATAAATGTATGTATATTTCTCGTATTGTCATAAAATAACGGTACATAGAGTCATCGAATTTTGAATAACGTAATCCTCCAACGAATATGAGCATGTGGAAGACCAAATTTGAAATTTGAAATTTGTTTTATGATCGATTTCCTATTTTTTAAAACTTTGACGAATTTTTGATTAACAAACTCAAGGATTTCAAAGCGAGCAATGGCAACGTTGTGCAGAAAAAACATTTTTATCTCCAGCGCGTGAGTCTCTGTATCGGAAATTCTAAAGATATGCTCGTTTTAAAACTATTTTGCGATATTGCTGTTGCACTGGATCTTATGGTTTAAGTGCGAGGAACATGATATTTAATAAAGAAAGGTAACACACAAAATGTTAAAAAAACGCCCCTTTGGACGTAATTTAAAATCTGAAACATTTCAGATTTTTTTTTTTTTTTTTTTTTAGTCCAAAGGGATTTGAATCCCGAAGGACTATTAGTTTCGTTTTGGCATTTTGCGTCGGACTCGGATAAATGTCGGTTCACTTTTCAAACTGTTGCCATAAAATGTTAGAGTCCTGCATTATATTTGAAGAAATTAAATAATGAAAAATCTGCGTAAATGTATGTATATTTCTCGCATTGTCATAAAATAACGGTACATAGAGTCATCGAATTTTGAATAACGTAATCCTCCAACGAATATGAGCATGTGGAAGACCAAATTTGAAATTTGTTTTATGATCGATTTCCTATTTTTTAAAACTTTGACGAATTTTTGATTAACAAACTCAAGGATTTCAAAGCGAGCAATGGCAACGTTGTGCAGAAAAAACATTTTTATCTCCAGCGCGTGAGTCTCTGTATCGGAAATTCTAAAGATATGCTCGTTTTAAAACTATTTTGCGATATTGCTGTTGCACTGGATCTTATGGTTTAAGTGCGAGGAACATGATATTTAATAAAGAAAGGTAACACACAAAATGTTAAAAAACGCCCCTTTGGACGTAATTTAAAATCTGAAACATTTCAGATTTTTTTTTTTTTTTTTTTGAGGCCAACGAGAGATTTTTTCGGCTACATTTGTTTTCCATAAAATTAATTTTGTACCAATCTAATATTGCGTTAAGGTAAGCACAAATAGGGTGATACTTTGCAGTGGTGTGAAGATTGAGCGTGAATATTATTGGTGATCTTCAAGAGATGAAATGTTCTTGTAAAACGCAGACAGGAGTATAGTTCAGAATTCTGTGGAAACGATTGGCCACCCAGATGGGAGGATAGTGACTAGTGATGCTGACTACCATACCAAAGAGTTTGTGTTTGAATTCTGCAGAAGATATGGATTTTGTAAATGTATAGTGTCTATGTCGCAGATGCTTTCCCAAAACACATGGCAAGTCAAAATCTTTTCAAGAGGTTCTTGGTAGGGGAAAAGAGATGAGAGACCCTCAAACTGCATCCGTTAGACTCGAGGGGTTCTTCCTTGGAATTGCATTTGGGGCAGAAGTTAATCAGTCTACAAGGCCCAGCAATACGTAATACGCCTATTACACAGGTTGGGGGATAGCTCTTCTTCAGCCTTGTGCCTGTGAGAAGGATTGGCACAACTCTGGTCGAATCTCTCTGGCTTTCGAGGTTCAGTATTAGCCAACTTTAACAGTCAATGGGATAATACATAAATACCTTATATGTATTTCTTGCTGTAGTATGTAAGCTTGTCTTTAACTAGAACTGAAACTCAAAAATATAATAAGTTAAGCAATGTACTTAAAGATTAATTAGGATTGAATTTATCTAAAATTTCTTTGCTGCTACATTTGTTTTGATGGAATTAGTTGAGACATATTTGAACTGCTCTGGCATAATTAACAATTATTAAAAATGAGATATTGTATATCATTGTTATTAATGGAATGCATCATTTGACTTTGTGTGTTCGATAAAAGCAATATCTTTAATGTGTAAACAAATATTGAAATTTTCACGAAATGTTGTAAATGTAAGATTCCAATGATCCATTCATAAAAGTGCATAATAAAACTTACTGAAAAAGTTTTTGGTATAAACATGCTTTTTATGATCTTAACTTATTGCTTTGTAAAAGAATTGTGTTTGTTGAATACAGTAAAGTAGATAAAGGTTGTCTACCCAAAGGGAGGAATGCGGTCTTGAAAGAATTTCTAAAGAAACTCACTATTTTCTCTAAAACTTCAAAGTTGGAAAACCTAAACATTTATAAAAGTGTCCATAATTTTGGTTATCATGAAAAGAAGTAATACAAATGAAAAATGTATTGATGATTAGCATAGGTGCTGATTGCAGAAAACATAAAAATAGCTAAAATTTTGTAATTTAATTTTTTTTATAATAAATTTTTAGGTTAAAAAATAACAAAATATTTAAAATTGTAATTGTGAAAATTAAGAGTTCTATAAAAATAATATTCTAGTTTCTTTATCATCATAGTGTATATCATTCTTCAAAAGATAGAGTGACTAGCACATTTAATGATTTATTAATTTTATACATCTCTTTAAAGTATGTTTAAGTAAATTTAAGTAAAGTTTAAGTAAATTTAATGCTTAAAATTAAATGAAAAAAAAAAGTAGCGGTAGTTGTATGTCAGTAGAGAAAGAGAAATGAAAATGTTCCTGAATACGATATTATTAAAGTATTCATTATTATTTACATCAAAATTTTTTTGCAATAAAATTTAACAATATCATTAATTTTCAGTATGATTTAATCCCTTTATTGGAATCTGCAAAAATTGTCAAGAAGTCTTCAAAATGGAACTTGACCAAAATTAAAATAAAGGTAGTTTTTATGCCCCTTAAATATGTTCAAGTAAACTTTAAAATGTAGTAATTGTCTTCGAACTATTATTATTAATTATACAAAATTCTGTAAAGGCTTACTTAATAATATTTGAAGCATTTAATATTTAAGCATCTTAGTCAAAATTTGGAATTGCTTTTTAAGTTTCTGTCAGGGATTTAAAATCTTCCAAGGAATGTTCTCCTCTGTGTTCTCAGAATTTGATTGATATATTTAATCTAGCAGTTTAAAATTTTGCGTGAATGTGGCATCTTTATTGTAAAGAAAATGCTCATTTCCTATGCCCATTTTCCAATTAAATATGTATTTCAATGAACCGAGTGATAAAATATGAAAATCAATTTAAGAGCATATGTAAATTAACTGCTTGTATCTAAAACCATGAAAAAATATATTATTCCAAAAAATTGCATAAGTGAATAAACTGGGTTCTTTCCTTTTACTAATGAAGGGCCAACTCTTTTCAAAAGTCTCAATTATAGCCTGAATTGAGTGAAGATTTTTATCTAATTTTTCTAATTTGCTTACCTTTGACCAATATTTAGTTTAAGTTTTGATTGAACTTGTAACTTCAATTTTAAATAAATTCAGTTTTAAATTTAATAATAATAACAAAAAATTTCTTACAATAATTCTCTATTTCAATTCGTAATTTTCTATTTCAAATTGTAATTCTAATTAAATTAATTCTATTAAAATATTTGAATTTTTATTTTTACTAAAAAAATTTATTCAAAACCATTTTTTCAAAAAAAAATTAGGACTTTAGTAGTTTGCAACATCTATTTTAACAAACAGTAGTAGTTCATATTTTTTACTTTTTACACTTTTTAACATAACTGAAAGTTATCAATATTTTTGCACACAAAACAAGCGTTTTACATTTTTTTTTAATTTACAGCATAGGCTTTTACAATAGCTCTCACTGCTATCAGCTTTACACTCAATTTTACATTGTATTAGAGCCATCTATTTTTACAGTTAGCAGTAACAAAGTACTCAACTCAACTAATTTAGCAAATGCTTGTACACTGCACAAAAAAAAAAAAAGGGTGGATAGTTCTATATCTCCTGTTCTACTGGGCCGATTGGCGAAATTCAAACTGCGTTCTTCACATCGAAAGCCCAACTTAGGATATATATTAGATTTATATACAGCTCTATTCTAACACATAACTAATAACATTCTAGTTATTTTTGACACAAAACCGGACTTTTCCTGATATACTTCTTTCCATATTTCGATTCTACGACTCAAATTATGTCCAA